AGCCGGCCGAGGGCCTGGGGCTGGGACCCAGCTGCCCGTGTCCCTAACGGGGGGCTCTGCCCAGGGGCGGGGGGCCTGTCCTCCACACGCTCCTCTTCACACTCCCTGCTGGCCCCGCCCTGGCCCACGCCAACCAGGGTCCCCTCCCAACCTGGTGCCCCTCCCGCCCGCCTTCACAGTCTCTCGCCATCCCAGCCTGTGGGTCAATCAGACCTCGGTCCATCCAGGGGTCCTCTTGCCTCCTGCACGCGCCCTGACCAGGGCCCAGGCTGGGAGGAGCCTCCAACCCAGGTATGTGCCCTTGACCGGAATCGAACCTGGGACCCTTCAGTCCACAGGCAGACACTCTATCCACTGAGCCAAACTGGCCAGGGAAGTCTCCTTACTGGTTTGGAGACATGGAAATACAGTGCGTGCAAACATACACACACACACACACACACACAACACACACACGCACGTGCGCGGCTTTTTTCTTTTATTTTTAATAGATTTTTATTGATCTCAGAGAGGAAGGGAGAGGGAGAGAGAGAGAGAAACATCCATGATGAGAAAGGATCAATGACCGGCTGCCTCCTGCACGCCCCGCACTGGGAATCGAGCCCGCAGCCCGGGCCTGTGCCCTGACCGGGAATCAAACCCTGACCTCCTGGTTCCTAGGTCGACGCTGGAACCACCGGGAACCACCAGCCACGACGTGTGTGTCTGAGGTCGGACGGAGTAAGAATGGCTCCGGCACTGACATGCCGCTCTCTGTCCCCGCTTGGCAGGTCCACAGACGTGGGGTTCACGCCCCCCTCGTCCCCGCCCACGCGGCCACGCAACGATCGCAACGTCTTCTCGCGTCTGACCAGCAATCAGAGCCAGGGCTCCGCGCTGGACAAGTAAGAGCCGGTGCAGCTGGGCAGCCCCCGGACATTCTGTTCCGGCCCCACTCCTGGCATCTCTGACTTTTCCGTCTTGACTGGGGACCCATCTGTTCCCTGAGGGAGCTGGGACCTCGGGAGTGAGCTGGCAGGGACAGACGGGGCGCTCAGGCCCCCGCAGGCCCCCAGACGGCCCTGATCCTCCATGGCTGGTGCCTGGATTCTCGGAAGCCCCTTCCTGCAGCCTCGCCAGCCCCCTCCGCTCCCCAAACGCTCAGACAGGCCCCGCACACTGTCCCCGGGTCGGCTCACCTCGCAGTGCGCCCTCTGCTGGTGTGATGGGGGGTGACAGCCGTCCCATGTGGCACCTGCTTTCACCCCGAGGTTTCCCCTGAGCCACAGCTCAGCCGTGAGCACGGCCTGCCCGCCTCACAGGAGAGGAACGAGGCTCAGGCAGGCCCGCGGGCGTCCGCCTGGGAAGCGCACAGCCGG